CCGAAGCACACGCTGCATTGGCGAAAGGGAAGGCGTTCTTTTATGCGCTTAATATTAGTGAACGTGACGAGGAAAACATTTTGAACGTGGAAAGTGCTCTGTTTGGTCTAAAACGTAAAGTTTCGACAAACCAGTTGTCCATTAAAGACTTTTTTGGTAAAAAGAAGTAACTTTGAAAGAGAAACATTGTTTTTTTTAAAAATTTTAATGCTTTCCCGCATCTATCGTTTTCCCGCATTCATCGTTTTTATTTCCCACCCCCGCCAAAAACGATGCATCGAGGTTTCACTGTAATACTATCACCACCACCACCACTAATACTACTGCTGCTGCTAATAATAACAACATGCTGTAATGAAATTTATAATTGCAGTCAATGACAATACATGATTTGAATGAGATTAGATCACATGATCATCTGAGCACAAGCTGAACACAGAGGCAAATGAGCTAAATTACATTCACATGTTGGATTATAAGCATACATTGCCTAAGTAAGATTAATAAGACTAAGAATCTGTGCAGCAGGAAAGTAGGTTTTATAGATTTTGCAGCAATTCCTTGCATTTCTTATGTTATTAATACAAGAGTCACTTGGAAGTTTTAGCATGGGAAGTACCTTTATCAATACTGGTCAGTGAAGTACCACCATGAGAGGCCAACAAGCTAACTAGTGCCTGAGTAACAGCAAACCCAGAGGTTACATCAGGTGCTCCAACTTTGCCGCTTGGAGACTGATTTAATGCACCCATAGCAGCTGCCAGCAGCTCCTGTAAAAATAACTACCGTATGCACTGAATAAACAATAAACAGCAGATCTATAATTATTCATAGGTGTTCTGTATGCAAACAGTGACAAAAAATGCCTTTAGCAGATGTGATTTAAATCGCCGCATGCTATGTACGTTGGACATCACTGAGGGGTTAATGTATTCTCTGAAGTTGACTATTCAGGTACAATTACAGATAACAAGATTAGGTATATTTGTACTTGAGGCAAAATTTCTCTGTAAGTTTCAGTTTAAGAATAGATGTTTATACACATGAATATAAATATACAAATGTGCATGATTTCATATATTTACTTATGTTTAGGCAAGTGCTTTGGTCATCTCACACAACTCACTTCTGTCAAAAATGCCTGATAATTATATAAAATACATAACTTTCATTCTATTCTTTACCTTAGTGCACATGTGTAATACTAGTTCTGAAGCCTCCATATCTGTCTGTGCCAAAGCAGCAATGGCACAACTGAGGTAGTTAAGACAGGTAGCTGTAGCAGGGGGCAGATGACTTGTTAGATGACCTAATTGCAGATACGAGGCTCCTCCACCAGTCCTAGGCCCTCCCTCAGCAAGGGGTTGATGCAGATCAGAAGCCAATTCAACATGCCCCCCAGCAGTTAAGCTCATGAGATGCACAACCTTGCGGATGTCAGACAAACCAATGGCATCCAATCCATGCGGCAGACTACACGATGTTCCACTGCCATAACAAAAGATCAGTCATAAAACCACATCAACCACTAAAAATACCTAAAATAATATTTTTAGTATTAAGAAATAAGATGTTGATGGACACTACACATGACATGGACACTTTTCATTCCTGATTCCTCAGGTGGAGTGAAGAATAACAGAGCGATTAGAACTGAAAACTCTGAGGCAGTAGCTTACTAAAAACTTCGAAAAACTATGTGAGAGCAATAATTACACTTTTTATATGGAACTCAGTCTGGGAACATAAAGTCACATTTTGACACGACTTCTACATGGCATGGTGCTTAGTTTAGCACCAAAGGACAACTTTACTTCACCTTTGCTACAAATATTACAAGAATCAATTACTCACTGTTGGTTTTAATAACCTTGCCAAACACTTTTCGGCACCTACAGTATCATCATCAGTGGTTTAATATTTACACATTTCATTGGAAAATACATAACAAATTCACTATGAACAATGAGTCACAATAAACATCATCATCATTATTAAGAAAAACTGAATCAATTGTATAAAACATGAATATTCCCTTCAAATACATTAAAATAATATTGCACATTAGGTAACACCTTTATGCATGCTACATCATATTTCTATTTTCTTAGACTTCATTCTCCATTCTACACTTTACTGTGTATACTGCTGTAATGATTTGGCTTTGTACCTCAGAAAAGTAACTAAATTACACGCATACTAAAGTGTGTATTTATATGTTTGTTCAGTATAATCTAAAGAAGAATGATTTATTTCCACTGTTTCTCAACTTTACTTTCAAATACACTGCAGAACAGTTTCTTTCAAGGATTTTCATTAGCTTTGTAGATGTGAGAAATGTATTAGAAATAATAAGATACCACTGCCAAAAACATTGTGGTATTATTTCTCAAAATACTCTTCATTCATCTGCAAATGCAATTTCTCCTATAAAAGATTTATCTCCCATCCTCTTCATTCATTTCCAAACAAGAATGGTTTTTAAGTAATGAATTGCACTAATGCAATCCCTGAGGCCTTGAACCTAATTTTGCAGGAAGATGGCCGTCTTCTGGGTTTAGTGCCATGTAGTCTGGTAGAAGTTTACTGATGTTTCAGAGGTGGTTGTTGCCTCCATGACAGTGAAGAATGACTCGCCAGACTACATGGCATTACAACTCAGAAGGAAGCCATCTTTGGACTCACCGCCATGAAAACCTCAAATCCTTGTTTTGTAGATTTCTTGGGAAAGATTAAGACATGTGCTTCACAGTGTTACTGACTGCATGAGTGGGATACAATAATATACCTTCAAGAGAAATAATAATAATAATAATAATAAAAAAAACATAACAAACATAAACAACTTACCTAACACACAGCAAGGACAGTGCACTCATCACAACTGAACGAGCTACCAGGATCTGTGCACCTTCTGTGATCCTCTCCAGAGCCATAATACGATCCTGTGAGGATGTGAGGTGTGAAGCCTGCTCACCAAGAGATTTATGTTTGCTGTCTCCTTTAACAACTCCAGGCTTCAGTTGCCCTGCCAAATACATTTGTACAGGTGAACTCTCTTTATTAATACTACAGTTGTTTGTGAAACTGATGCACATGCTTGTAAACAAAAGGGACCACCTAGAGAGTAACATGGGTTACAAATCAAGCTGGGCATGATATTTTGTACACACCTAAAAGTTATGTAATAGATCAGTTAGCTATGACCCATGGGAAACTCCACACTGTTCTGGCTGATCTCAAAACAAAGGCTTCAGGAATGGGAGTCAACAAACCTCGCATACCTGTTGATTAATTGCATCACAACAAGTTGGATTTCAGGTTCTTACGGTGTCGAGTACGAAGATGGCTGTTTTCTGGTTTGCAGTGCTATATAGTTTGGTAGAAGTTTACTTATGTTTCAGAGGTACTTGCTGCCTCCATCATTGGGGTAATTGCTCTGATGATGGAGGCAGCAAGTATCTCTGAAATATTGGTAAACTTCTACCAGACTACCTCGTGCTGCAACCCATATTCGTATCATAACATGTTTAACCCTTCAACGTGGGAATTTAAATTCCGCGCTGCTTGACGAGGAGTGGTGGCCATTTAAATTTTGCTCTAAAACACTTTATTTATCATAACGTTTGAACTATATAACATATAATGATCAATTCTTCACTGAAATCCTCTTAAAAGATGGTTTTATAATTTCAGCGTATAATATGAACATCCTGTGTGTGACAAATGCTAGTAGTCGATTAGACGTTGAGAGTTGTATGTTATTTATTGAAACGTTAGCAAAAGTCAACACTACCAAAATACATAGTTTTTATCTTTTTCTAGCGGTTCCTGCACATGACGCAATGTCTTTGAGGCATTGAATTTCTTTCCTGTGTCAATAATACGCGGGAGTAAATATGTCTGCGCCAGCTGATATTCTGACAGCGAACTGAAGGCCACATATATGCATCATACTTAGCAGTTATAACCGTCTCTTTCTAAGCACTCTTCTGATTATAGACTTCTGAGTATAG